CTTAGTGATAGTTTTTTTGGCCGTAATAACATGCAGGAATTTTGCTCGCTATATTTCATTCCTGGTCCGGCCGGTTTTTTGTCTTTGTCACCGGCCGCGTGGCTCGGTGTCCGGTTACATCCCGTCCAGTCGCGGCTCACCGCCGCACAGTGGCGAATATTGCTGAATTGGCGGAATGGCCGCCGGTCAGGTGCAGTCGCACCCACCAGCCTTTGCTCGGTTACGGATGTGACGCCATCTTGGGCAGTGCCAGGGCTGCCAACTGCCGTCACTACATGTCGTACCGATTAAAACCGTGGTATTTTTTAAAAAAAGAAAGCCAAATTCATTCTTTACTGTTTCAACCTTAGCAAAATTTCAATTTAGGACTCGGTTGGTTTTGTTTACTTGCTATTACTGCAAATATTGTTTGCAGTGCGGCATGAATAGATCACTAGGTGTGTACACTTGCAAGTGTGCTGTGGTCTTAACATTTAAACCTTGGTTCGAATTCCGTCACGGCGGTTTATAAGCATACCCCCCCCCCCCCCTTCCTTCTCATCTTCTCCTTCGCGCCGTCGCAAGTCGCCTGCGCTCTCGGAGTTAACAAGCTAGCTTGTCCTGTCGACTCAGCACTGTTTCCGAGCCGGTTACTGGGGCAGCAGAGGTCATCAGCTGCTGAGGCTAGGATTGGGAATAGAATTAGGAAAAAATTAGGGATAAGACTAGGATAAACTTAGGCATTAATCTCATTAGCTTCTTAGTCTCTACGCCAATTGACGTCTAAAAAGAAAACAATCCACTCATTCTATTTTCTTTCCTTCTGTCTTCTACTTTTTTATTTTTCCTCCTCCCTTTAATTTCCGCCTCTGCCGAACCATCGAGTGCCACTTACACACGGTTTTCCGCGCGCCGCGCTCGGGTCACCGGCTAAGCCTGGAACATATGTACCTCTGAATTGAGTAGGGGGTGCAGGCTCCGAGCTTCGCACAGCCGTGTGCAAGCCTGTATTGGCGACGCGCCGCCCGTAGCGCCACTCTTCTCAGTCACCGGCGCCGCTCTTCAGAGTCGCAGCCGCTCGTCCGCTCTGCGCCGTCCTGCGCCGCCCTGAGCGCCGC